CCAGCTACTGCATGGGCGTGTGAGCACCACCTACAGGGCAGGCGGATTGGTGTGTGAGAGAGCGCCACCTACAGGGCAGGTGTGAGAGCACCACCTACAGGACAAGTGGGATTAGCATGCAAGCAAACGCTACCTCCAGGGCAGGAGCACTGACCGCGCCACCTACACAGAGCGGGTGTGTGAGCACCAGACCAAACAAAGGGTTTGCAGGCCTTTCTCCTGCCAGGATTCTGGCTATCCCTCCCCTAGACCCTCAGACTGGAGTCTAAGCCCCCTACCAGGTCCCTCACACCCAGCTCAGGGTCCAGGACCTGCTCTGCAGCCTCAGGTGCTGGGAGGAACCCTCATAACTCTGACTCAGGCGAGTGTGAGCCCCATCTTTCCAATTCTTCCTGTGGAAAGGGGCTCCCCTGACACAGGGTGGGTCATAGGGGGGTCCAGGCACAGTGAGGGTTCTGCTCACTGCAGGCGCTGGGAGCTGGGTTTCGGGTGAGGTAGGGGTCCCCCCACCCCCGACCAGCTCTGCCCAGGACTCACTGTCCCACATCCCGCCCTCAGGAGTGCCGCCTAGCTCTCCCTCTGGGTGCAAGGTGCAGATGCTTCCCAGCAGGTCAGGGGAGGGCAGCAGGAGGGGCACTCAGGCCTGTTTAGAACAGATTTGGTGGGGACCTGGCAGTGCTCTTGGGCCTGCGCGAGGAGGGGGTGGGGACTGGGACTCCTGGGTCCTCAGGATACTTGAACCCCCAACTCCCTCTCCCCTCCAAGGCCTCCCATCAGGGGGGAGGGAGGAAGCTGCGAGGGCCAAGAGCATGAAGTCATGGAAACTCAGGCCGTGGAAGGGGCCACACGTGCCCTGGGAACGGGATGAACTCTGCGCTCCGTTTATTTCCACCCGGTTGTCATGGCGATGGGAGGGGGGGCCAGGAGGGAGATGGGCTTTTCCCTTTCAAGGACCTGGCCCAGCACAGGCATCCGTGTGAAAGATGCCTGGGGCTCGGGCACCAGGGAGACTGAATCCCAGGCCCTCCCCTCAGACCTGGGAGTCCTCACCCCCAGCCCCTTCCTTGCCAAGACCCAGCTCCCCAGCCCCTCCTCCGTCAGACCCAGGAGTCTACATCCCCCCTCCTCCCCAGGACCCAGACCCCCGCCCTAACAAACAATTCTGGGGAAGGGAGACTATCAGCCTGACCATAAGCCCATGAGGTCTGAGAGCCCACTGCGCACACAGTAAGACAAGGGGCTGTGCTGTGGTGGGGACCTGCACAGGGGAGACATCGGCAAAGCAGAGGGCATCCAGACAGGACCCAACCATCCTACAGGCCTGGGACCGCCCTCTAACGGGGATAGTCCCTGGCAGCCCAGGTGAGCTGGTCACCTCACAGATATGAACCAGCGCCCCTCTCCAAGCCACAGCCTGCCCCTAACCTCGTGTCGCCATGCACACCCCTGTGTGACATGTCACGGGGGAGGTGAGAGCCCCTGATCCCCAATAGCGGTGGACAGGAAGGTGGAGACAGCCCTGTGCAGGGGGGACCCTTCAGAAAAGGCCCAGGAGCAGCACAGCAGGGGATGGTGGCAGGCACAGGGGGAGGGGCTGCCCTGGGGCAAGGGAGGACACAGAGATCCAAGCAGGGGATAGAGGGAAGGAGGGAAGGGATGGCACTGAAGGGTGCAGTCCCCGGAGCGGCCAACCGGCCACGATCAGCCATTAGACAAAAGACAAGAGGTGTGGGTTCACCCAGAGGCCCTCGGCAGAACGACATGGTCACCTGTTCCCTAAAGCCACGGCCTCCAAAGACCAGTCAATGCTTTGTGTTTAGGCCTGGAGTCCCTGCGAGGGACACTGCAGTCCAGCTACTACCTGAAAAGTGGACACCGTAAGTCCACTTGGTAGTACCTAGGAAGTAAGGCCTGGCATCTTCCTTCCAAAGAGTCATGGCCCCAGAGCCCGTTGGGCATGGAGCCCCTGCAGTGAAGACATGCTGTGAGGTCAGGAATGACACCACTGAGTGTTCAGGCAACATGAAGCTAGCCCTCCAGCCATGCGAGCCCTCTCCCCTCGGCCCGGCCCTGCTAGGCTTGTGGTGGATGCCGTGTGCCGTCAAATCAAAACCGATTCATGGCTGACCCTCCAGTGCGTTTTCAGAGGCAAGAAATCACACAGGCGCGGAGATTGTGCACCCTGCTCCCGTGGATTCAAACCACGTGCCTCCAAAGGGCCCGGCTCTGTGAGGGGCTGAGAATGTTGGAGGGAGAAGACGACTGAGGGGACAGACCGTCTCCTCAACTATACTTCTTCTTAGGAACAGGAAAACCACGGGTCTCGAGCCTTTCTTCCCAAGACTTCCTTCCCTGGGTCCCTCCAGCTCCATCAGTCACCACACTCCACTTCCTGAAAGGTTCAGGCATGGAGGTGAGGGCTGGGGACTGGGGGAACCGGGGCCTGTGGTCGGACAGAAGGAAGCTTCCTGGCAGCAGATGGGAGCGGCTGGCCTGAGGACACCAGACAGGAGGCTGAAGGGGGGGACTTTTCTGCGTCCACTCCTGGCCTAGTGACCCCACACAGGAGGATGGAGAGGACCCCGCACCAGAGGGAACATGGGGGCAGGAAATAATGAGGTCCTGGGACATGGGAGCCTCAGAGGCAGCAATCAGGGGGACGTGGAAAAGGCTTGGGCTGCGGTAGGGCTGGGGGACGGGCAGTTCTACTCTGCTTGGAGGCATCCCAGAGTGGTTCAGTGCCCAGCAGGCTCCTGAAGTCAGCAGGTTTGAACCCACCCCGAGACCTGGTGATTTATTCCAGAACATTCAACCAGAGTCCACACAGAGCACAGTTAAGCCCAGACACACATGCGTACCAGGGGTTGGAGGTGAGGAGACGGCAGGTGGAATGCCGGGGGTGGGAAAGGCCTGGAGAAGTGTGTGTGGGGGTGGGGGGCGGAACTGTGGAGCCCCCTAAGCCCACGGCCATGGCTTCAATTCTGACTCACACCAGCCCCGCAGAACTGCCCCACAAGGGACCCCAGCCCGCACGTCTCCCTCCTGAGGGGCGGCTGGTGGGCTGGAAACACCACCCTTGCGCTTGGCAACTGAGTACTTAAGCACTGCACCACCAGGCTGGCTGCCAACCCCCAGGCCGGTTGCGACTCACAGCCGCCCTTCCAGGACAGGGCAGAACCACCCCAGAGATGTTTCCAAGGAAGCAGACTGCCCGGACCTTCTCCCAAAGAGCGGTCGGTGGGTTCAAACCCTCAGCCTTTTACTTAGTGGCCAACATTTGGGAGCTTTAGTGGTTTACTGGGTAAGACGCTGAACTGCCAACCCAAAGAGTCATGGTTCAAATCTACCAGCTGCTCCTCAGAAAAACACAATCTCCTTGCTGGCAATTTACTGCCTCTGGAAACCCACTGGAGGGTCAGTTATGGGTCAGTTCTGACCCAAATTGTACATAGCAAGGGCCCAAGGTTTGATCTACAGTGCCGTTTTGCACGACCTATGGGAAAGAAACAAGCCGCCCAAATGACAGGTGGGAGAAGTGAACCGCATCCTCAGAAGGACAGGGTGTCCCGGTAGAGAACGATGACCAAAGGGCAGGGTGGCAGGAGGAAGCCACGAAGAGCAGAAAGAAGGGGGGGGGGGTGTCTGGTAGAGAGGTGATATCCAGAACTGGCTGGGAGAAGGGATGAGTTAAGAGGAGGGTGACCTTGGAGAGAAGATGAAAAGTGGGAGCCCAGGCGAGGCTGGAGTGGGCCACAGGAGCAGAGCCACGGTGGGGCAGGGCGGGCAGGAGCAAGGTCCAGGAGAGACAGGAGCAGGCTTCAAGGGAGCCCCGTGGAAATGAGTCCCAGAAGGGGCACCCTTAGGGGCTAACAGAAGGGCCTATGTCAAGGAGAGAAGGCCTGGGAGGGAAAACGGGGACCCAGGCCAAAGAAGGGAGCAGACCCAGGCTGGCTCGACTGAGCAACAGGTGTGGTCAGATGTTGTCCAGCCAACCCATCCTCCTAGTGACCCGATGGGACAGGAACAGAACTGTCCCACCCGGTTTTCAGAGAGACAGAGACACAGAGAGAGAGATGAGAGAGACAGAGAGAGACAGAAAGGGACAAACAGAGAGAGAGACAGAGACGAGAGACAGAAAGGGACAGAGAGAGACAGAGACGAGAGACAGATACACAGAGAGAGACAGAGAGACACAGAGATATAGACACAGAGACAGAGAGACAAGACAGAAAGATGAGAGACAGACAGAGACAAAGAAACAGAGAGAGACAGACAGACACAGAGAGACAGACAGACAAGGCAGAGTGACAGCAGCAGCAGGCTTGAGCACATGGGAGACCCTGAGGACCAATCGCTATGAGATGAGCAACAATCTTTTTGGGAGGAGCTCGGTGGGTCTGAACCACCAACCTTTGCATTGGCAGCTAGACGCTTAACACCATGGCGCCGCCACCATCCCAGGTTGATGGATGGCGCGGTGCAGGCAAAACCAGCAGCCCGGAGGAGGAAGAGGAGGAGGAGGAGGAGGAGGTACAGGTGTGTCGCACAAGCAGAGCCGGAAGATGCAAGCGGCACAGATGGATGGCAGCGGTGGCAGCATGTAAAAAGGGCTGGGAGATGGGAGAGGCGGCGCAGATCGAGGCTGGCCAAGGGGGCGGGGAGGAGGAGGACAGCACCAAGGGACAAGGACCGGGCAGGAGCATCAGCGGTGGCTCGGGTCCACGGACGAGGCTAGGGGCTGGGGAGGAGGGTGGCGCGGGGCTGGCGCAGCCGTGGCCGGAGCAGGCCCGGCCCGGGGCGCGGGGCGCTGACCTGGTGCAGGGCGCTGATGCCGTCGGCATT